CTCATTGTCATTTATTTGAAGAGGAAAAATGGCTAAATCAGCTATGCAACCACATTCCAGAGTTTTTCAAACACCTATTTGCTATTTTGCAGTGATCAGTTTTAAAGCTCCTTGGTAGTCTCATACATGCCACATAAATCATTATTAATAGAAATCTACACCCTCTCCCAATGCTTGTTCATTTTACACCAGCAGTCTGCACACCTGCCCTTGCTAAGCTGCCAGCCAGGGCACACAGTCAATCTCTTGATTACAGAATTTATACGAAAAAGTGCCCTTTAGAGAAAACACAAAAGCAGTGGATGTGATCTACAACTTAACTGTTTTTTTCCTTTGTTCTTTTAAATAGCATCACAGCCGAGGAACAATATGGAATCTTCCAAGCCTCTAGTGGAAGCAAGGGCTGCTGCACAGCCCCAACAGCTGAGTTAATCCCGTGGCGCACAGGTATCAGATATAGGAGGGAGGATAATCTCACTTTCTCTCCCATCTCTAGCTATCCCTATCTATCTCTTTCCTTGCATGACAGCAGCACTCAGTGCAGCCAGATTCACCTTCTTAAGTAAAGAGACTGTCATCAACATCTCTTTTTTCCCCCGCAAACAAGCTGTGCTTGCCTATGAGGGGTCCAGAGCGAGCAGCAGCAGGATCAGGGCAAGGGTAGAGCTGTTGTGCTGGGGCAGGGAAACGGGGTCTTCTCGCTCACCAGGAGAGGGCTGCTGAATGGTTTCAAGCCATTTTCGCATGAAAATAGAGACTCGAGAAGAGAGAGGCAGCCACAGCATTTAACAAGAGCAGGAGCTGGACGGAGGCTTCAGCACCAGCGTTTTGGTATAAATTTCACATGAGAAACCTCCATTCACATGAGCACCACATGTAGTTAACCCCTACACAGGTCAGCACAGATGCAAAAGTATTAACTGGAGAACAAAGAGGCAGCAGAGCAGGCAAGTTTCTCCTCATTTCAAGTGGGCGCATGCAAGAATTCAGCATCCCTGAGCATGAGAAATGTTCAAAAACTCTAGAGTTGATAATGCAGCCCAACCAGAAAGGCAAAAGCTGCACTCAAAGCTGTGCCAATCCTCGACGCCGGGGTGCCCGGGCCGTGGTCCCTGCCCGCCTGGCTGAGAGGAAGGCCCAGGGTTAGCGCAGGGGTCACCAGTGCCTACGCACAGCGCATCAGGCCCTGCCTTGGCACCAGCTCACAGATGCTCTGGACAAATACAGTTAATCCTCTCGTTTTGTAAATAAGGGCTTTGCAGTAAGCGTCAGGGCTAACCCAGTGACCGCTTTAGAGCGCTACGCTGAACCGAAATTTCCCTTCTTCCGGCCGCTCATTGCCCTGACTGTCAGTTTTAAACAGAGCAGATTTTCAGGGACTGAAAGTCAGATGGGCATTGCACTTACTCATGACATGCACTCATCTTTCCTGCTGTAGAATAAACCAAAGTTCAGGTCATGAAGAGTCCCACAGCAGCTAGCTGCACGCAACGGCGACACGTTTTTCTGACAGCCGTTTTCATGCACGTCTGAGCTGGGCTCCAGTTTCCACTCAGCCCAACAACAGGTTAGTTGGGTGGCCAAGCGTTAAGTGTCAGACATCATCTACGTCAACAGCGGCCGCCTGTTTTTGGGAAGGAAATCCTCAAAAAGGTGCCAAATACCATTTACATTCATTTCAGAAAGTTTATTGCACCAAATGCCGCAACGAAATAGACCAAAATGGTAATGTACATAAACAACAACTATAAGAAAAGAAAAACAAACATGTAGTTTGACATTGGTATTCAGTCAGTCCTAAAAAAGTCTATGCTCTCCAAACATGCAATAGCAACACACATTTTCTACTACAGATAACCTGTTAAGTATGTCAATTTAGCCCACAACTTCAGAACAGTGTCTAGAGTTTACTCAGCAGTTTAGACTCTCTTTTGATCTGGGTTCTTCCAAATGAATTTGGAACTTCAGGGATAAGTGACCACTTGTGTAAACTTCATATAAGAGTTTGGTGTGCCTGGAAAGAGACTTGAGCTTCAGAGAAAAGCAGGCAGCAGGGAAGACCAATCTGTAGTGTGAATGATAAATTAAAATTGAGTAATTAATTCTAAGTAGAAAAAAGTTCTATTCGTTAGTTTGGAAGGTGCCCAAGTTGAATTAAAAAGTTTAGATGTTCATATTGTTTCAGGCTAAAGACAGCTCAATTAAATACTGCAATGTAGCAGTTTCCATTTATACCCCCCCATGCATGAATGTTTACTTTTGCCTCAAAGAATACATTCTTTAAATTGCACTGTGTAAACTGCATTTATGTGGGATTTTAGAAAGTCTGTTCACTCCCACTTAAACAAGAAAGTATGTACTTAAGTTTAGAAAAAACCCTATGTAATACTGATAAAACCCCAACTTTGGAATATTTGAAATTAAGCTACATTATCAACTTTACACACCTTGGTACATTCATATCACTTTTCATTCTATTAAAATAAAGACAGAAACATGCCTTAAAGATGACTAACACAACATTTGTAAATATTTACTGCTCTGTCATGCTACACTAACTTATATAAACAGCAAGATGCTACCAAAAACAAGTTAAAGACTTAGAGTCCAAAAAAGCCCTAGAAGGTGGTATCCTGTCAACTGAGGTAGTATATTTAGTGGAGGGGAAAATATTTACTCAGACTTCTTCCAAGTAAATGACTTGAATTTCAAATCCCCCCACGTCCCCCAAAACTAAAACAGCCAGATCATCATGTATTTTTCTGAAGAGCAGCAAAATGTTACAGAAAGCAGCAAGAACTATAAAGTTTTAGCCTGGGCTGAAGAAAATCCAAGTGCTTTTGACCATCAGTTCACACGCCTCCTCCTCGAATAGTGTAAAATCTTGCCAAGAGGGAGACTTTCATAGTTTCAGCAGTAAACTTGGGTGTTGCTGGTCACAGTAGGAGCCTGGAGAGCCGCTGAACCTGGCTGGCTGCTGACCTAGCGCAGTTTCCGCCTGCGCTTCCCTGAAGGCCTCGTCACAGGCGGTTCCGATCCAAGCCCAACTCATACTTCAGGTAAACTGGAGCTGCCTCCTAACGCTCCGGAGCGCTGGGAGCAGCGCACGACCCTTCTCCATGCGCGCAGGGAAGGGCTGCGCGGTGCCACCTCCGTGCGCGCTCCGCCACGGGCAGGGGCGGGAATGTGTCCCTTGCTGCATGGTCCCTCGCGGCCGTAACCTTGCGCCACACGGTGTATCTGCCAGCAGCTCGGTGCAGAGGGACGGCTGCTTTCCTGCAGAGACACTGAAGGATTCACAGGGAATACGGGAATAAAGAAAGAAAACACCTCTGCTACAAGCAGGAGGAGAAAAACGGATCCATGGAAAGATTTTAGCCTTTTGAGGCGGAATACCGGGTGTAACGCGTGTATGAAGCAGCGCTCAAGAGCAGCCTCTGGAATGTTAGATGAGCCGTCGGGCACATGGAGAAGCGCTGTCCCCCCGGGCTCCTCGGAGCGGCACAAGGTTCCCTGCGACCCCCGGCCCCCTCACGGGTAAGCAACTCGCAACGTGCACATTTCATTGCTTCGAACCCTTCAAAGTTCATTGTAGAGAAGTCCGAACATCAAGGTAGTATGAAATAAAACACTTTTAAAAGTCTGTCCCTTCACTGCCAAAAATCTGGAATCACCAACAGGCAACCAGGCGTTTCCAACTAGGATTCACTGCTTCCAAGCAAATGCTGTCATCCATGCTCTGCCCCGGCTCACCACTGGGGACTCCAGTGCTCAGTTTTCCTTTTCTGTAAGGATATTTGTGTTGATCCTTTGTTCTTTCCTTAGTCTGGTCCATAAATAGTTTCATATCCAGCTTAACAGTACTTTATGCAAAAAAAGTGTTTTTTTACATTCATGCTATCAGCCACGTGAAAACAGGAAAATACAAAATCTTTTTTTACTTTCTAGAAACACAGAAGGCCAGTATCAGCTAGTGGAGAAGTAGTTTCTGGTCTCAAAGCAATTTCTCTGTTAAGGAAAGGCACCGGGATGATAGTTTGAGAATGCTCTAGAGTTGTAGAGGGTAACTGCAAACATTCATAGTAATAGCAGGGTTTGCCCGCCTTTGTTTTATTTGTGACGTTTTGAAATAAGAGCCAGAGAAAAGTAATTTTGGCTACAGAATTGTGGGACTCAGGTCAGATTGTCTTGAGTTTATGCTGATTGCTTGGTAAAATGCTGAGAACAGCAGCACTGAGACCATCTGTAAGCTTGTCCCATGCAGAGCCCTCAGACAGCAATACCTGACGACACCAGAACAGAGGTTTGGCTATTCCCAGGACCAGCATCACGGAAACTCAGAGGAGCAACAAATGTAAACTTGCAGCAGAAATTCCGTGCGGCTTTCCCAAAACCCCCCTCCCGGAGCTCAGCCCGGCTCGGGGCTCCTGCTCCCATGGGTGCTCTTGCCCTGCCGCCTCAGCCAGGCGGCGACGCGTCCGTGTCTGAGGGGAGCGACGGCGCCAACGCACCCGGTGTCTGAGGGGAGCGATGCGCCCGTGCATGAGGGGAGCGACGGCACCAACGCGCTTGTGTGAGGGGGGCAACGCTCCCGTGTCTGAGGGGATCGACGCGCTCGTGCGTGAGGGGAGCAAAGGCGCCAACGCGCTCGTGTCTGAGGGGAGCGACGCGCTCGTGCGTGAGGGGAGCAAAGGCGCCAACGCGCTCGTGTCTGAGGGGAGCGACGCCAACGCGCCCCTGCTCCGGCTGCGGATCCCGCTTCCTCGTTCCCAGCTGCTCACCTCAGCCATGCCGACGCTCTGCCAAAGCGCCCCGGGCTCCATGGAGCAGACGCCTGCGCCGGAAGGCTAGACACGGCGCTGAGGGCTCCCCTTTGCCAGGGCGAGGCGCGCACAGCCCCACGCGCGCGAGGGAAACACTCTGTCCCGTTTGTTCTTTTAACGGTTACTTCACGGCTTGAGCAGCGTTTCTGAGGGCAGCTTGCGGGCTGCCGGAGTGTTATCTTCCGTCCTTCAAATAATATTAATAATAATAATAAAATGCAAGGGTGCAGTCACCTTCTTGATTTACGTCAGAAGTGAGGTTGTTAGAAAAACCTGAATGCTTTTTACATTATGTAAACTGAAGTCCTCGGATAAAGCACCCCGCTGCAATCCGAAGCAGGAGGTGGTAGCACGCGCAGTCATCGCCCGCTCTCCTCACAACATGTTCCCCTTTACCAGTGCTTGGCATCTCTGTTCTTCGTTCAAGATTCCCATATTCTGTACTTTAAGGGAACGACTATCCTGAGATTTTGATTTATAAGAGTATTTGAGCCACGTACGGGGAATGAGTACTTGCTATAGCAGCCAACAAAGGCAAGTCATTGGATTCAATCCTAGAAATTAAAAAAAGGAGAGAGGAAGACAGACTTTAAAACAGACAGTCACCTTTCACGGAGAAGGAAGGCACAAGGGTATTCTTCATCCATGCTCCAGAAACCAGAGCTGTTTTGCTACAAGCGAGTTTATCATTTACTAATACTTATTGTCATTATTCATAACATACCAATAACTGTAGGTGTTCATGTTTAAAAACAGGAGTATGCTACCTCTTAAGTGAAAAAAAGAGTAGTACTACCAATTTTTTGTGATCTATAATCTTTATGCTTTAGTTTATTTGCTAATTCTTAGCTTACAGTCTTACTGTCTTACCAGTCAGCAGGTCCCTGTAAGCCTGGTCTAAAATACCACCTTACAACTACTAACTAGCACCTCATGGGAGGCCGTGCAATTTGTGTTCCAAATATAACCCTGATGGTCACATGGTGGCACCTTCTTACCAAAAAATAACCAAAAAGTGGAATTTGTATGCAATCAAAACAGCAATGTCACTCACATGAGACACTGAGTTCAAACCACTTCCACTCTACGCTGCTCAGAGGCCAGGAGAGTATCTGTATCTACCTATATACATGTATGTATGTACATTAATATATATACTCTGGAAAAAAGTGTTCAATTCAGCACTCCTCACTAGCACATTTCTCAGTATGAGATCCCGAGCAGTCTGATTTTTAGGCACAATGCTAACTGCCATCTATTTGGCAGGCAGCAGCACATCTCCCCAGCCCGCGTGCCCGGCGCGCACGGTTACCGGAGCCAGCAGCTGCACGGGGCTCCTCCTGATTTTCTGCACTTACTTTTTGAGATCCCCTCTTCCTCCAAGGTACCACACCACTGAGCTGGCCAAAAATCCCAATATTTGTTGAAACAAAATTAATTTCATTAACTACAGATTTTATATATAAGGACGTATCTATCTGGATAAATATCTATATCTATATAGATATATAAAGAGAGCAAGTATGCAGGCGCAAGAGAACGTGCAAACATGCAAATAACCTCAGAATGCGAAGATAATATAAAAAAATTATGCAAAAAAAAAAAAATCCTTTTCAATCCAAAGATTTAAGGCTGATATCTGCAGTACTTACCCCAGTACGATTCCTAGTTCTTTGACATGCACTCTTGTGTGTCCTCGCAGATATTCTGAAAGCATTTTGCTTTTGAGATACATCTCCTGCAGTCTATCCTCAAGATGCATTATGCACTGCAAATACAGACCAAAGAACAAAGTTAGCATTTGCATGCAAACATTGCACAAATATAAACATACTTAATAAAAGGAAGTCCTCAACATTAAAAGACAAGATTAAAAAAATTACACCACTGTCTCCCACCTGCTATCAAAGAAATGTGGCATTTTGTATTTTCCCAAATAGAGAGTTTGTTGCACAAAACAAAAAAGCACCCAATTCACACTCAAGTCAGCCAAAGTCTTTCTGCTGACTTATATAAAATCAGGCCCAAAGACACTCAAGATGTCTTGTTAAGAATGAAACCAGAATATTTGGACCTTGATTTGCCTGCTACCAGTCAGTACTATTTTTCTGAAAGATGCAATTTAAACAACACTTCCCAAAATCGAGCATCTTTTCAGCTCAGAGAAACTGCCATTCAAGGAAATAAAACTTGAAAGAAATGGAAATCCCTGTTATCCCCTATGGGATCGCGATAGCCCTTTTGCTTTCCGGCTTACAGGAGGAGCTGAGGGATCTTTTCTAGACAGCTGCCATTCCCAGTGCTGGATTCCCGGTCTAAGATTGCTGAAGTTCATTGCTGACCAAGACTGCTGACTGGAACTATCACCTTTTGGCAAACAGCACCTAGGTTTAATCATTCCCTTTTCTTTCATCAGTGGCATGCTAGAAGTGGAACAGCGTGCTATACATTTTGTGCAACCACATGGTACAAGGTTCCTTCTCATACCAAAGCTGCAGGAGAACAGATAAACCTTAGCTTCAAAGATGCTGAAAAAATTGTGAGAGTTATCCCTTTTTGGTAGCAGAAGCTGAACAGGTAGAGTGGCTCATCAAATATTTTGTTCTAGGACAAAAGCTACATTCCATTTAATATATTCTTTCTTTCCACAGTGACAACCACTTCAAAAGCAAGTTAAGCTCAGCTCTCCAGACTCCAGGAGGAAAGCAAGCAGCCCATGCAGAATCAAATCATACATTATCAAATGTTGAATCTTCTGGCAGGTGGAGACAGCAATTAGAAAGAGCAGCAGCAAATGGCCTCAGGCCATCATACAAAATACTTTTCAAGTTTAATGAATACCATATGTACTATCAGTTCTGCCAGTAAAAACAAACAAACAAAAAAAAAAACCCACTCATGCTTGTATTTTTGAGGATCTTGAGCAAGATTTTAAGCACTTTTCTGGGCGTGCAACAGGTCTTAGGGAAGACCAACACACACTTCTGAAACGCCTGCTACAAAACAGCACAAACAGAACGAGGTAACTGCCCCAAGTAGAAGAAAGGTAAAGCTCATTGAGAGCAGCTTGAGCTTTTTGCTTCGAGCAAGTTTTCCCTTAAGTCATTATAGTCACGACACTTCAGCTACTAGCCTAAAGGGAAGCATTCTTTATCTTTTTCATTCCAGATAACTGTGCAATGCAAAAATCCTGTTAATATTTCCTCAGCTGTTCAGAGACGTGCACAGTGGTTTCCCAAAATAGCAGCTCAACGTATTAAAACTTTGTTATTCATGTGCTACAGGATTTTGGAATTGAAGTTGAGAGAACAAATGAGGCATCCTGCATTACTCTTAAAATAGAGACATTAATATAAAGGATTATCTGCTCCTCCTGAATGATGACTGGATGCTAGCTGAGAATGAAAAGTCTTCCTCGTAATTTCAGTACACGCCGAGTTAGGGAGTTTGTTCAAAATGCCTATTCTATTCGAGGTCCAGGGATTAAATCAGCTTTTCCCATTGATTAAATGAGAACAATAAATCCCAAGTTAGTTTTAATATCAGGAAAAGTAGCTCAAAATGTGTTTAAAGGTGCAGGTAAAAACTCGTGACAGATTGCTGATGTGTAGCTATTGCAGTTTTGACTTGCACTCCCTTCTCACTCCAGCACGCTGCACAAGGCCCTGCAGTATGGGCACCACACAAATCAAAAAAATCAAAAAAAAAAAAAAATCAAAAAAAAAAATCAAAACCTGTTACCTGAACAGCAAGCTGGAAAAGGAAACTTCAAACACGCTGCATGACGCTCACCTTTGATTGACATCAGGACATTTGTCTTGGTCAGAATTTAAGCCACAAGAATCACTAAGTCACACTCCCCCCGACCCTGCACGGTTTGACCAACACTTGACTTTTCCCCACTGATCTGCTGCTGTAAAATCCCCTGACAGGAGGGCCGAGTTGTCATCTAACACAGATTATAGAAAATAAGCTGCTAGCGTGGTCATTTCACTGTTCCTTTTTACATGGTGAAACAACCCACGCTCCCAGGCTCCGGCTCGCTTCGAGCAGCCGCCTGTGCACGGGGACACAGGGAACGTGCAGAGGCTGGAAGGGGTGATGGGCACGAAAACGCATTGCCGAGGAGGAGCACCCAGGGTACAGAGGTGCCCACGGGTCCCAAGGACGGAGATTTGCACGCTGAGCACATAGCAGAGCAAAACAAAAGCTTCAATAGAAAAAGTGGAGGGAAATTCTACAGCAAAAAATAATGTGAGCCAAATTTAACAACCCTCATCATAAACATAAGGGCAATGCCTTAAAAACTTCAATGCTGGCTCATCTATTTTAGAGCAGTCGACTAATCTTGATTACATGTAAAGCAAGCTGAAAACAGTACCTGTAAACAGACTGTTGCAGGCATTCTTTTAAGTATGCAGTACTGACTCTCAGGTACTAGTTTACTGCTACACCAGTAAAATACCCAGTATAAGAGATGCTGTATTTGATAACCTCAGCTAAGTAGATTTTCATTAGCTTCAGTTTTCAATGAAAAAATACTTACAAAGTCTGCTGGGAGGTTGAGTTTGTGAAGCTGTAAAATGGATTGCAATAAGCTGGATACTTGACTAGACACCAGGACATCCTTGCCCAGCTTCACGTTGTCCACCACCTTCCTCTGGCTCGTGGCTACCTGCACGTTCCATTTATCCGTGTCTGCAATGATGCAGACAGCTTCTGCGATGGGCTCATCGAGCACCGGGTGCTGCAACAGACACAACATGCAAACATGAAGGGACATCTTCCTATACGTTCTTCCACAACTAGTGGAAGGTTCTGTTTATATTCATGCTGGGACGGGGGTAAGAAAATGATCCAAATGAATGTTTTCATCCAATAAAAAAGCCAAGACATGATAATCAAAAACAAGCAGGAATACCAACTTTAGCACCAGTTTTTACAGCCATTAACACTGAGCCTGTTAGGTCATACCTGCCAATTTGACCCAGCATTTTATTTTGCATAGGTAGGGCTTCAGAAACGCTGCTCTTCCACAAAGTGTCCCTGCTTCCCTGCCAAGGTAAGTATCTCCCAAAAAGAGAATAAGAACTGGACTGACTCCATGGTAGAGGAAGTATAAGCAGTGTTTCACCCCCGAGGCATTTTGTGGGGGGTTTCACCAATCCCAACCAAAGCAAGGCACATACGAAGAGACAATATCACATTAGCCCAACTTGATGTTGTATAAAAAAAGCACATGTATAAGAGCCCCACAGCTTTGGGCAACATATGAACTCAGTCCAAGATGAGTTTTAATTGCTATAGACAGAAGCTGTTCATAATCATCTCTAGACAATTAAATATTTAGAACTGCATACTATGAGCACATGAAGTTATTTTAGTGGGAGGTTAGCTATGAATTTCTTTGAATTTAGACTCAATCTATATCCCTACCTTACTGCAAAGCCACAAAATTTCCATGGTGAGTTACTTATGCTATTAGTCTAGTACCACACAGGCCTCCTCAAAACTCATCTCCGTTGCCGCTAAGCAGCCAGGAAACTTGGAACAATTTGCAGGTCATTTTTGTGAAATATGGATAATTATCTGAGATTTTGATTGGAAAAAGAAGTGATTAGAGAGTTTTTTCTTCTTGCTTGCAATCTGAAATTGCCAGCAGAAAATCTTCCCTATGCTTATCTTTCAAAGAACTAAGAGGAGAGAAATAAACAAGTGAATCTCCCTGAACAGGCTTCTCGCACTGAATTAAGGGGCAATCTCTTCCAAGACAGACAGACACGTCGAGAGCTGCTTTTAAGAATGGGCTAGTGGAAGAAAAGCTGTTCCTTTTGAAGCATCAACACCTGCGCTTCTGTGAGGGCTCAGTACCATCCCATCTCCTGCGTGGAGCACTGCGTTAACTCACGTGCATTGAGTGCAGCAGGTCTGCTAGTAGACACTGTTTGAGTTTTTCATCGTTGCTTATTCCATGCAGCACTAGATCGGGCATATAGGTATGACAGTAGCCACCCAGCAGTGATCTTCCAAAATTTTTCATGCACTGACTGCTGATTGTGTTTGACCTGAAATAGAGAGAACAAGGTGGCTAAGGATCTTGCTTGACAAACTGTACTCAGATTTTCATGTGAAATGAAATGTTTGCCTTATCACTCCTGCTTCTCCTGCAGCAGTCGTACTCAAGATACAGAGACCCAGTTATTGGTGCTCCCCGAGTTATTTTAAAAGCTATATTTTTAACAGAGCATTGATTCCTACAGATTTCAGATAAGGCAAGTCTACATGTATTAGAGCTTGTGGTACATACGAGCTCCCCATTCTGCATCTAACAGGTTCACTAAGCTTGAGTGCTCTCAGACTAAGAAGCCAACTCCAGGCTACCTACTTATGCATCCTTACCTTGAGCACGGCACTTGTGCACCTATAAAGCTTATTTCTTAAATAAGATGCCCCTAGGTCTTTTAAAATTGACTTCAGCAGTAGATATCAGTTTGACAAAACTAAGGTTTTGTTTGTCCTCAGAATTATGTCTAGATTAAAAGTTTCAGGCAGTTTCATACTAACAAATTTGGTATCTTTTTGTTAAACATCTGAGTAACGACTTTGTTAGCAAACTTCAACACCTCAGGCTACTTAGTCTTGACTTTCTTTCTGTCAATGCTGCTAACAAGAATCTTAACTACATTACCAGTGTCTGCTAGGAAGACTTCAGCAAAGAATTTAATCAAGATTCCAGGATTTCAGACTTGAAATCCTGAACACCTTTAAGGTAATAACCGCTTCTTTACCTTGGTAAAGGAAGTTCCACTTCTGCAAACTCTTCCAGTCTCTTGCTGATGTTGTCCTGATGGAGTTCAGAGACACAACAATCCCCCTCTTCATCACTGGCTCCCAGAGCACTGTCTGAGCTCTCGTTCCTTGGAATGTCCCCTTCAGCTCTGAACGGGATTTTCCTACCAGCATCCCCATAGGGGACATCTTTAGCACCTACTTGAGGAGAATCCTGTCTGACAGCAGCAGCTACTTGTACACCGTCAGGTGAACAGCTCTCCAGATTGCCAGAGCTCAAAGTTCTAGATTCCTTCACATTTGGCATTTCTATAGTTATTACGTTATCTACGGCCGAAAGTGGTTCACTAGACGTGTTTGCTAAATTAGCTTTAGTTTCTTTACTTTCGACACGCTGGTCATTAAGTTCACTCTTCCCCTCACGAGGTGGAACCTGTGCATAACAAATACTGTGTTTACTGCAAGGTGTAAAAGCAGCTTCACGGCTTTCCTGTTGATTCTGTGCAGTCCCCACAGTCGGCCCTGGGGAGCAGGCACAGTGCATCACCTCTGGAGTTTTTCTGAGTGCCTTCAGATTCTTTTCCATTTCTCTTCTACGAGCTTCCAAGTCTGACTCCGGTGATGCAGAGCTTCCGATCTGAAAGGTGACCTTTTCTACGTGTGCACTCCTGTGGTCAGACCTTTCAGGACAAGGTAAGGCAGATGACCTACAGGGCAGCTGCTTTTCCACTTTGCTTTCCATTAGATTCTTTTTTAGATCCAGATCCCTTAATTTTGACGGCTCCTCAAAGTGGCAGGATAGGATTCCCGTATCAGCAACAGTTCTCTTACCATCAGCGGCTTCTTTGTGGAGAAGGCCAGCGAGACCCTCGCCGGACGCTTCCGCGCTCTGGCTCGTCCTTCCCGCTGCCGCGGGCTTTTCCCTGGAGGAGGCTGGTGCAGCGGGAGAGCCCTCCGCACCCCGCGCCCGCTCGGCAGCTCTGCTGCTCCCACTTGCACCATTCTTTGGAGGTAGGATGGGAGGCACCAGCGCGGGTTCGTTTTTAACAGTGACGACAACGTAGTCGGATTCTTCCACCTCTCCCTTCTCCAGGGCAGTGGTGATTGTGCTTCCGTTTAGCACTTGCTCTCCTTCCCCAACCTTCCCACTCCACGTGAGCTGATTTTCCTGCAGCTCAGAGCACCGGATGAAGTAAGTGAGGACATAGAGCAATCGCTGCACCAGCTCCTTGCGCTTTCCAACAATAACAGTCCGAGTCAACCTGACTGGAGAGCCTATGGCACCATAAAGATCACCTGCAAAGCGAAAAAGAAGAATTCACATGCTGTGAAATTATACATTTCATACAGTTATACAGCTGGAATATAAGGTATACTACTTAAATTCACACACAAAAAAAAAAGCAACATTTTTAGTGACAAATGAGACAGTTATTTTCTTTCACAGTAAATTCATAACATTTTAAAATAGCACCAAAAGAAATCCCCTGACACTTCTTCTGCCTGGCATGTATTCACAAGGGGTTTTGCTATTTTTAGGAGAGTTTTTCTACTACTGTTCATTGCCTTTCTAAACTACAGCAGGTTTCATTTTATAAAATGGCCAAAAGACATTATCCCTTGGAAACTGGCACAACGTGGGGTGAAGCAGAATATCGATCCAGCTAAGCTCTAAAGACAAATATATGGTTTTCTGCTTTCTTTCGCAAAGCTGCTTTATCTGGACCATGTCTTCCTCTCCTTTCTGGCAAGCATGAGTTTTCATTCAAATAAAAACTAAATGATGCATTTCAGGACTGAGATATCTACCCACTGCCCCTCCAAAAATAAAATAATAATAATAAAAAAACTAGTATTATTTTAGTAAACAAGGCTCTAAAGCAGAGGTGTAGAGCCCAGCACTTTGGGGGCAACAGCCCCCACACTTGTGTGTGCTCGGAGGAAATGCCTAGGTGAGATTCCCCTCACAGCACGCGCTCAGGCTGCTCTTTGCTGACCAAACAGTGGCCAACGTCACGAGCAGGTGGCAGCAGCCCTTGGAAGCTGCATTCTCTTCCCTCAGCATAGATATTCACCTTGCAAACAGGTCTCTCCGGCCACACGTGACCTACCAGACAGCTTTTCTGCATGCTAAGTCCTTGCGCAGGCCTTCTCAGGCGCTCTGGACCAAGGCTGCCCAAGGCTTTTGCCCAGACTTCATGGAATTCCACTGACACTAAATAAAACTACGCCAAGAGCCTCGGGAAGGTCTCTGCAAGCTGTGAGGGGACCATGAGAGGGCTAGAACTACAAAAGGGAAAAATGGCAAACAGCCTCAAGGAAGGACAGGAATGCTCCTTATCCCAATACCTAATGAGCCACAAGCACCAGCAATTCAGAAAGGGGAAAAAGTCTTTTTACCTGCAAGTTGGGCACAGTTGCTATGGAAATGGGATTCGGGCTTCATGTTCATTTGAACAAATGACTTTAATACACACACAAAAACCCATTCCTACAGGGACAGGAAGGCCCCTCAGAACTGTGGTCTTTGCAACATGCTAATTCCTACCACTAAGCACGTCAGACTGAAGTGGAGGTTAAACAGAGAGTATTAAGCCTTACTTGCAGCATTATCTACACTTGTATCAGTATTTATATGTAATTAATGCATAAAAAGTAACAAGAACACATCACAGAGGGTAGAGACAGACATTTTAAAATGTTTACCTTAATAAAAAGTAATTTTCATTTTAAAAGCGCTAAGGATTTTTTTAAGTTTTGTTTTAAGGGAGCCAGCAGAGGGCAACCTCTTACTCTGCACTCTCGCTCCGTGCCAGGAGCAGACACTGGGTTTTGGGCTTCCCAGAACAGAACAGAACCAGGAAGGGCTTTGAGCTCAGCTGCTCCGAGTTTGGTGGAGACAGTTGCAGGGGTGAGAGGGAGACATTTTTTTTTGGGGGGAGCCACAAGAGCTACTGCCCATCCTACACCTCTGGTCCAGCTGGCTGTTAGAAACCACGGGCCTGGCTCCAGCCCCAACACCCTGAGCCAGCTTCCATTTTCCTCTTTCCTAGAAAATCTATTCCATTACTCCCTGCATAATGTTTTAAGTTCATCTTGGAATCAGATCTGCATCTTTTATTACTACTATATGGCCAATGTAGCAATTCTTAGTGCCATGAAGGCTACTGAGAAGAGCCAACAGAACTAAGCGAGATGGTAAGATGGAAACATGACCAATAGCACAGCACAAAAGCCCTGCTCTGCTTTGCCACAGCCTGCAAGTGTATTATCCTACATGCAACAACGCACAGAATTTAAAGTTAAGACTGAGCTGATACCACGCTCACAGCTGCTGCCAAGAGGAGGAGGAATTCTCAAGGTGCTGGCAGCGTTATTCTCTCAGCTCTCCCTCATCTACTCATTTGACAGCTATCATTTAATTCCCAGTATCGAAATAACTTACAAGTCATGTAATATTTGTTAGAAAACAGCCTGTGGAGCTCAGTATAGAAAGAGAATCTTGGTCCCAGCCCACTCAAGAAAGCAAACGAGTGGAGGTACTACCAGCTCAGGTTTCCATTCTGCTCTCAGGGTTGGCAATGAGAACCAACACCCAGCTCCTCCTGTACCCCTAAGCACAAGCAAACGCTTCCCAGCAGCTCTGGGGAGCTCAGGTTTCCATTCTGCTCTCAGGGCTGGCATGAGAACCACCACCCAGCTCCTCCTGCACCCCTAAGCACAAGCGAACGCTTCCCAGCAGCTCTGGGATAAGAGGAATGCATGGAGGAAGGAGCTGGCCCAGGAGGGCTGAAGATTTCCACGTGCTACTGACCCAGCTGTGCCCAGAGAGGGTTGTAGGGGTGGGATTTGGCCAGCATGTTCACAGACTGGGATGTGCGTTTCTCGGAGAAGGCCTTTATGGGAGGATGGTCAACTGGCATCACGGTAGGGACCCAAGCCAGGTGATAGGTCAGCACCGCAGTTAGCAAAGCAGCAAAGAACCTAGGGGAAGAAAATGACATTAGCAACATCATACTAGCAAAAGAATACCCCATTAAAGGCTCAAACGTATCACGTGCCCTGGGAAGTCAACAAGCTTTTAGGAAAAAACGGGAAAGCTTACTGGTTTTTGTTGATCTGTTCTATCAAAAATGTAAATTCTTTAAGAAAACGCTGGCATAACTGGTTCTTTTCCAAGGTGTTGGACATCATATTAAGCCACACAGGCTCTGCAATCCTTGGAACAGAATACAGGTTCCAGATGGTGATTCTGCGCAGAACAAGAAATCCCCAAACAAGTGTTAACATGCAGCAGTTCAAAGTAGTACACACAAGCAGCCTGTTTCCTCTTAGCTATATGTTTTTTTTGTAAGAACAAGGAGACTCTGACCAAACTGGAAAAGTTTTCCACATGCACTAGTTACTAGAATGCCAAAACACTGGTCTGTTTAATCAGCGTAGTGATAACTTCTGATTCACTGATGTGATGATCACAGCACAGTGACCACATGCAACATAAATGCACATTCTTCTTCCCTTTCTTGCATTCTCCTGTGCAGAGAAGTGCACACAGTGCACAGCTGCATGGTGGAGAAATACAAATCATTTTGAGGAGGAAAAATAAGCCATCCTATTCACATTCTGGTTGCTGCTCAACCTCCATCCCAAATACACTTCCTGTCTCCCTCCTGGGCTGTCTCCTCCTTTGCTGGTACCAGAAACCAACACCCCCAACAGAAACTCTCTGGTCGGTTGTGATGCTCAGTGCCTACAACTAGGAGCAGACAATTCAACTGCTTGAACAAAACAACTCAAGCAACTGCACAGACGTCAGCAGGAGCAGCTTCTGAGGAAGCCTTCAAATGTTTGAGGCACAGGTGAGCAGAACGGAGCGCTGTGCTTGCCCTTGTGCTCAGAATGGCTGCAACGGGCTGGAGGTTTCCCAAAACATTCACCCAGCACAGAAAATCCAGTCACGCTGACTTCAAGATTGGCCGAGTTACAAGAATTTGCATTCCATTGCTTGGAATAATTGAAAGTGGGAGGTAACTTTAGAGAGGCATGAGAACAGCTCTCAGACTGCCTGAGAACTCCATCAACTCACCTAAATTCTCCCAGGGCATCCATGACACGGCTGATATAAACCTGCACTCTTTGGCTGGATTCCGCTATTTTTCTACAGCAGATCATGGCCTTGATTAAGAGTTAAACACAAAACAGCTTCTTAAAGGATTTATATTCTCCGTTTTTTCTGTTTCATTAACATGTCAGGATAATTAACAAGCCCAGTGCTACACATCCACTCAGGACAGCAAGGGCTGTCAGTCCCCCCTATCTCACCACGAAGGGAGAAGCAGCAGTCAGTTCCCATCTCTTAATGACTGCAGGAAAGGACAGAATACAACCTTGTCCATTGCCTGTAGGCAGTCGAGACAACCTCAGTGGAATATGAGGAAAAGGAAAGCAGAGAGACCTGCAACATGCAACTCTCCATTCTCAACAGCTAGAAAAGAATCCACACTCATTTTCAGCACCTGTTGCTAGTTCAGGACAGACAAATGCTGAATTCCTACGCTGGGCTCGGGGTCAAGCTACATGTGTAAGGAGAGGGAGAAGCTTGAAGCCACACAGCCTTCTCCCACTCCTTCCCAGACTTCATCTATCAGATTCCCTTCTCCCACTCCTTCCCAGACTTCATCAGATTCTAGAATATTTCATTCTAGACTGTCACCTATTTTTTCACATTTCCACTGTTCTGTACCTTTTCTATTGCATACTTCAGTTTGTTCATGTGGGATTCAAAAAGAGGGAAGTGAGAGAAAAAGAAATCCTGGAAGTGTCTCTGTGCTTCTTCTTTTTCAGGCAGGGAGCAGATGATGCTGATTGCAATTTTTTTCCTCCGAACCATTGCAGGATTGGAGCTGCAGCTTTCATCAGCCATACTAAACATTTCTTCAGTGGACCTGCAAGAGATTTGTTAGGTCAGTTGCCCAAACATTAAAGACAATTTGCCTTTTACAGATCTACTACTGCTACCATTTACCCACCTACTCTACAGAGAGTTGAACTAATGCTTAAGCCTTCTTTGACCATCTACACAAGAATTTGCTGTCACCTCTTTCAGAGAAAACAGCCAGCATTTAGATGGACAAGACCTGTGTTTACTAAAACAGACTGGAGAAAAGCTACCCCAGAGGGACCAGTAAAGTGCAGTGAAGGCCTTCTTCTAAAACAGCTACCAAATCCTTCCTCCTGGATTTATTTGCATTTTATAAAAATAAAATGGGGACATGACAGACAGGAATTTGAAAAGAAAAAGTTTAAGGGAGTCTGACAGAGCTGGGAACTCAGTGCAGCTCTCCAGCTCGTGCCCAGCTCCTCAGCACTATGCGCGGGGTGTTCTTAACCTCTCCTGCTGTTTATGAGAGAGGTTGGAAAACGCTCCACTTGCCCAGCATCTTCAGATGCCTGCTCTAAAGTAACCATTAAAAAAGCGAAATGAAAGCTTCTACTTTAATTAAGGTTCAGAATTCACTAATAACTGTGAAAGCACAATTCAATGCCTGCAAATATACGTATGCCTAGCTCAAAATTTGCTACAATTTAAAAGCTTTGTTTCCTGCTAAAAAAAAAAAAAAACCACTACAGTGGCCATTTACAGCCATTTATTGTTTCCAAGGCCTTTTCTCACTTGGCAATCCTGCTGCATTTCTCTCCACAGCACTGGGATCAGGACTGCTCAATACTCCAGCACAACCCGGCCTAGGGGCTGAGCACACGCTGGGGTGCCACGGGCACTCACTGCCCACCGAGCTGCATGGCCAAGAGGCCAAGGCCAAGAGGCCAAGGCAAGGCAACCTGGAGCCAAGGCCAAGAGGCCAAGGCAAGGCAACCTGGAGCCAAGGCCAAGAGGCCAAGGCAAGGCAACCTGGAGCCAAGGCCAAGAGGCCAAGGCAAGGCAACCTGGAGCCAAGGCCAAGAGGCCAAGGCAAGGCAACCTGGAGCCAAGGCCAAGAGGCCAAGGCAAGGCAACCTGGAGCCAAGGCCAAGAGGCCAAGGCAAGGCAATCTTGCCCTTTGCTTGCCACCTGGGAGGCCGCACCAGGAGAACTGTGTCCAGGCCAGAACTGGAGCAAGTCCAGGGAAGGCCCAAAGCGGAGGGGAGCCTGAAGCACGCGACGGACAAGGAGAGCCTGAGAGTGCTGGGCTTGTTGAGCAATCTTCCACTATCCAGGCAGTGCTTACACAGAAGATAGACTCTTCTCAGAGGTGAAGAGTGACTCTCGTCCACTGGCTGTAAATTAGATGCAGCACAGAAATTTCTGGTTGTATATTAAGAAAAAAAAGATCACAAAAGAATTAGATAATGGGGTAACAGGACCAGCTGTCCAGAGAGGCTGTGGAATCCCCATCCTTTGAGATTTTTAAAATTCAACATGACAGGTTCCTGAGCAACCTGATTCAACTTCCAGGCTAGTCCTGCTTTGAGCAGGCAGCCCAATTAGATGACCTGTAAGGTCTCTGCCAGGCTAAAACTTTCTGTGATTAGACAAAAGGGTGGCAATTCCACCCATTCCTCTACAAATACATGCACTGTAGGATTAAGTTCCGATGATTCTGAATTTGCAGAGCTATTCTCTCATGTTTCATGTTTCTGAATGAATTTTGCTGTGAAAAAAACATATTAAAATAAGTAAATATAAATGATTAAAAGAACATGGTTGGAATTTCTTTTGGAAGGAAAACTCAGTAATGGTGCTTACTCTATATACTAGGAAACTGTAGGGGGAAGAGGAAGAGAAAAAAAACAGGAGAACGCGAATGAATATGTTCAGAGCAGCAGCTCATGGGGAAATAGCTTGGCTTTGGACTTTCCTTACAAGTTAAAACTGCTATAGGAATCGTACAATTAAGATTTTTAAGGCTTCACATCAGAATTATCTTGAAATGGAGCCTGAGGCATTTACAGATTACTGTAAAACAACTAACAAGAGGAAAGCCTGAATGCTAAGCTTTCATTCTAGAGTTCATTCTAAGAATAAATAGTTTATGGTGTAATTAGTTTGACAAAGTTATGATTAAACAAAATTTTCTCAAAGAGATATGAGTCCAGCAGTACAGGGTAAAAATAACAAGAAAACCCATAAATAAATAAATAAACCTTGTGGGAAAACAGCATTCAGGACAAAAACATAACCTCATTTGAACTTCAGCAACTTACATGCAGAGACAGAAATTCTCAAGGAAGCTGGGAAAAGATGGCCAGTCAGCATCTAAGAGACATCACAAAGCAGGTTTTTGTGCTGCTTCCCAGGAACGGTGACCACAGCGCTACGGGCTGGCTGTGCAAGAGGCCCTTTCCCCAGGCTGCTCATCCAGCCTGTCCCCCATGGACTGCCCGGAGTCCCGGCTAGTTGTCCCTCTTCCTTTGAGCTCGGGGCCTAACCTGCCAGTGGGGATGGTGCAAACTTGGCTGTGCACACAGGAACCCGCTGCTTGGCCAGCACGTGGTCAGCAAGCAAATACCTCAAGAGCCTCGGACTTAGAAAGAGCGCCAGGCAAAGGCAGTTGCAGATAATAGGTTTAGTGTGTCTGCTTTCCAAGATCTTTTCCAAGAATGGATTCTCCAACATGGAACAAACTATTCTCTTCAGTGAATAAGCAGCTAAATATTGCTACTTTATTTATTTATCCTGTAACGCTCAACAAGTCTATCTGTGAAACTTTGGCTGCTGCTTACACGGTGCTGAGATTGCCTCGTTTCCCTCTCAGAGTTTTAACCCATTTGCCATACACTGCTCTCAGACTTCTTTCCTTAGGAAACTGGGCTAAAAGCACCGATGACTGAATGCAGAATGTTTGCTGGGTTATTCTCGCCTGCAAGCGTGGCTTGGAAAGCAACACTGCTGCACTTGACTTGAACTGATGCATGATTCCTCATGTTAAAAATGAATCTGTGAGAATATTGTAGAAAGAGATCCAAGCGATGCCCCTAGGAAAAGTAAATTATGGCATAACTATAACGTATTTGCAATTGGCCTCTTCCAAAAGGAGTATATTTTTTAAATGACCAATTTTAATTAGCAGCTTTTTAAAGCTTATTTGAAGATAGTGCAGAGCAAAAGTACACACAGCAGGAGGCTCTGACAGCCCTAATTCCATGCTGGTTCTGGGTGCAGGTGGGTGAGTACATGTGAGCAAATACTCAAGATTTATTTGCTATTCTACCACTGATGAGGGAGGAATTTGCTTGTTAGCTACAAAAGGTCTGTTGCATTCCCTGCTTTGTTATTCCACTGAGCTACAAAAGCTAATGAAATTCCAAAACAGAAGCCAAGCTTTTTGATCACAGCTCTTTTTCTTCCTGTTTTGGCAGAAGTCACATCAGGAACATCCTGTACCAGCCAAGAGTCGTCATGGGCTATTACTCCAAATTTTCAGTAACTGCTCACTAGTCAGACTTCATCATAGCATAATGTAATTACAGCAGCAGTGCTCTTACAATCTCTTTCATCTCAACAGGCTACCCTGCTTTTGCAGAAGTGGTTTAAGTTGCTTTTCAGAATGGGGTCTTTTGGTACATAGGCTGTACACCTTCAATAAAAACAACTGTATTTCAAATCCAGCCCTGTAATCAGCCAAAACTTGATCTTTCTTCAAACTGGCAGTCTTGCACAACACAAAAGTCAGTCTGAAGTAAGAGTACCTTTTAATAACAGAATTTGTCCTTTTAGAGAAGAGAAGCTTAAGATCTATTTTGCTACTGCTGCCAAACAGCTGCTCTAAAGAGAAAGCTGCTGCACTCACCACCTTGGGATAATCCCGTTCTCTAAACTGGTTGTCTGACTCCGGAGCCAGCGGCGCTGATAGCTGCTAGAAGATGATGATGAAGAGCTTGGAGATGGAAAGGGAGTGACCAGAAGACTGCTCAGAGATGCTATCAAGAAAGCAAAAAAATGCAACATACACTGAATTATACTGAGTGCTGGTTAAACATTTTCTTTTACACTCTAACTTCAGACAATTTTCCCCAACCTAAGAATTTAGTAAAGAGATTTTTCATATAACTCACTCTCAAAAGGAGAGATGATAATCATTTTAAGCAATTCTTGCTGCCTCTTCTCATAAAGCCAGAGCTCTTCTCTACTAGAGCACAGCAAGTTGCCTCACTCCCATGAAAAGCTTTCTGTCCTGAGAGGTGTTATCCTCCTATTACAACAAGCAAATGGCTGGCCTCCTACTCAGTGCAAAACTGTGGCTCTTCCCTTGTTTTAAGGAGGGCTCCAGCCAATTTTCCTCCAGCTTATAAATCAGTAAAACTCCAGAGAATTATGGCTGTCAACAAAGAATATAATTAAAAGTATTCCGACATATAGACTTGGAGGGGAAAAAATAAAGGCAGAAGCAAAACTAATTAGCCAACCCAGAAAAATTCAGACCAAGGGGTCTTAAAATACCTGAAGTTTCAGGTGAACGAGCTGAAGACCCAGATGAACCTAGCTGAAGAAGTGTATCAGTTATGTAAGTAGGCAAATAAGACAGCAGATACCTGAGCGAGCAATGCCGCTGTCTCTGTCCTCGTTTTGTCCTCTGCTTGGCATGTCAACAGGTGTGCTGTGTGCTAAAACAAACAGATCAGATCAGCAGAAAATGTTACATAACTCAGCATACTATTTGGCATTTAAAAAAAAAGATGTTTAAGCTTAAAGGTCATACAGCAGCAAAGCTGCATCCTATGCTGCTGCTCCAAATAAGCAGAGCATGGTGCCAGCAGGGGGAACAGCAACCAGCATTTCCATATTGAGTACCGTATCACTGAATGGGGTTGGTTAGTCACCCCAAACTCAAAGCATCCAGGCAGCCTGTGGAAGTGCCACGCTGGATTAGTTATTGGAGA